TTTTATCTTTCGATAAATTTCTAGCATTATTTTATCTCTCGAGCAATTTTTAACAACTTTTTTATCTCTTTAGCAAACTGCTCAATATTTTAACTCTTGATAAATTTTTAACAATGTTTTATATCTCGAGCAATGTTTGTACAATATTTTATCTCTCGAGCATTTTCTAATAGTATTTTATCATTCGAGGAATTTTTAAACAATGTTTTATCTCTCGAGAAATGTCTAATAGTATGTATCTCTTGAGTCAATTTTGAACAATATTTTATTTTTTAACAAATTTTTCAATAGTATTTTATCCCTCGAGCCATTTTTAAACAATATTTGTCTCTCGTGCAATTTTTTAAACAATGTTTTATCTCTCGAGAAATGTCTAATATTTTATCTCTGAAATAATTTTTAACAATATTTTAATTTCTCTTGCAATTTTTGACCAATATATTTTACACTTCAAATGGAACATTCGCTGAAAAAAGTACTAGATTTTGTTTCGAGTGTACCAGATTCTCAGAGAATGTACTAGATCTAGTACAATTGTACTAGACTGGCAACACTGAACACAATACAAGGGACACCATATATTTTAATTTCACATTTAAATTAGTTATTTGTGTATGGCTTTTATTAAGTCAAGTTTTTATCCGTACTGAGCCACTAAAACTTTTTAATGGTGATGTCTATGTAAATTTAGGTTTGTTTTGGCTATCACCTTGATCTCAATCTATCAGATAGCAATGCTAGGTATGAAGATTTAAATCCTAGATGTAACATCCTCTTCATGTTTTGTGAAAAATTTAGTTTCAGATGAACACTATCTTTTTTACGCCAGAGAGAAACTATATTAAGCTAAATTCTAAATAAATTACCTACTTTTTTTTGTATAAAAGCATAAAATATTTTTTTTATTTGGCATTACTTTTGCACAAGCGTCTATCTGCCTATAGTGACATTTCTTGTATTATTGAGTATAACTTAATGTTATTTGACGTAGTTGTTATTTTCTTCTAAATATATTTACAGTTTTATAATGATTATAGAACTAGGAAATAAAAATGCAACGTTTTGACAATCATTACAAAATGTAAACAAAGCCATGGAATGGCATGGCAGTGTATAGGCGGCCGTGACAATACCGATGTTGACGTCATAAAACCTGCGCACCGCTTCACCTGTATCCTTACACCATGGTCCTATACATGATTTCCCTAAAATGGACCGTATTCCAGATATTTGAGCAAAAGTGCAAATTTCAAATTTTGAAGATAACTCAAAAACGGATAAAGAGAAAAACACTAAATTTTAAACTTAAGCTTTAATCCATCCTACGGCGAGCTGAGTAAATTTAAGGCCTAGTCAAAGCATCTAGGAAATACTTTATAGGGTGTCGTTTTTTTACTAAGAAAATAAATAGTTTGACCGTATTTTCTTAGGCAACCTATTTGCAGTATATTTGAAAACATATTTTATTTATTAAAAAAAAACTTTTATCTGTTAAACAGATTGGTGGATGTCGACCTTACTTTGGATCTAAGACTATAATATATATGCTAATTTTGTTTTTAAAAATGGTTTTTGTATATAAATAGAGGTAATATAAACAATGGATGAAAAATACGAATATAATAATTAATTTCTTTATTATTTCGCTTATTTTTAAGTAATTAAAATAGATAATAAATAAGCCTGTCATAACACTCTTAATATAAGTTTTAAATCAACGACTATCTAAAATAAATTTCTCGACATTAACAACAAGATACTATAAAACTGATATCTGTTTAAATTCATTATAGTGCATTAAACTAATAATTAAGTCTCATAAACCTATAATAAATTTTAATTATTATCCTAGTCATAATAATATTATCTGCGTGAGTATTTTTGCATTTGATTAGGATCTACACATTCTTATCCTAAATAAATTTTGAATATTATAAAAAATAGGATGACGAATTTTATTTTTCCTTTATATGCGACTTAATGAAATGTTTTCTTTAATTGTATAACTAAGCTTGTTTCTACCTCAGGTGAATAAGTAAACTAGAAATAACAGTCACCTTTTTTGGCTTTAACATATTTCCCTTTCGTTACAGCTTTTTTTACGATTCTTTAATAATTGGTACTAACTTTGTTTTTATTACTTTATTTCTACAATTTTGTTTGTATAACTATATTTCTATAACTTACTTTCTAAAACATTCTTTTTATAACTTTGTTTCTGTAACGTTGTCTCTATTACGTTGGTTCTATAACTTTGTTTCTATAACTTTGTTTTTATAACTTTGTTTCCATAACTTTGTTTCCATAACTTTGTTTCCATAACTTTGTTTCCATAACTTTGTTTCCGTAACTTTGTTTCCATAACTTTGTTTCCATAACTTTGTTTCCATAACTTTGTTTGTATAACTTTGCATAACTTTTTTGTATAACTTTGTTTTTATAACTTTGTTTCTATAACTTTGTTTTTATAACTTTGTTTTTATAACTTTGTTTTTATAACTTTGTTTTTATAACTTTGTTTTTATAACTTTGTTTCTATAACTTTGTTTCTATAACTTTGTTTCTATAACTTTATTTCTATAACTTTGTTTCTATAACTTTGTTTCTATAACTTTGTTTCTATAACTTTGTTTCTATAACTTTGTTACTATAACTTTGTTTCTATAACTTTGTTTCTATAACTTTTTTTCTATAACTTTGTTTCTATAACTTTGTTTCTATAACTTTGTTTCTATAACTTTGTTTCTATAACTTTGTTTCTATAACTTTGTTTCTATAACTTTGTTTCTATAACTTTGTTTCTATAACTTTGTTTCTATAACTTTGTTTCTATAACTTTGTTTCTATAACTTTGTTTCTATAACTTTGTTTCTATAACTTTGTTTCTATAACTTTGTTTCTATAACTTTGTTTCCATAACTTTGTTTGTATAACTTTGTTTGTATAACTTTGTTTGTATAACTTTGTTTGCATATCTTTTTTGTATAACTTTGTTTGTATTACTTTGTTTCTTTAACTTTGTTTCTATAACTTTGTTTCTATATCTTTGTTTCTATAACTTTGTTTCTATAACTTTGTTTCTATAACTTTGTTTTTATAACTTTGTTTCTATAATTTTGTTTCTATAACTTTGTTTCTATAACTTTGTTTCTATAAGTTTGTTTCTATAACTTTGTTTCTATAACTTTGTTTCTATAACTTTGTTTCTATAACTTTGTTTCCATAACTTTGTTTCTATAACTTTGTTTCTATAACTTTGTTTCTATAACTTTGTTTCTATAACTTTGTTTCTATAACTTTGTTTTTATAACTTTGTTTCTATAACTTTGTTATTATAATTTTGTTTCTATAACTTTGTTTCTATAACTTTGTTTCTATAACTTTGTTTATTTAACTTTGTTTCTATAACTTTGTTTCTATAACTTTGTTTCTATAACTTTGTTTCTATAACTTTGTTTCTATAACTTTGTTTCTATAACTTTGTTTCTATAACTTTGTTTCTATAACTTTGTTTCTATAACTTTGTTTCTATAACTTTGTTTCTATAACTTTGTTTCTATAACTTTGTTTCTATAACTTTGTTTCTATAACTTTGTTTCTATAACTTTGTTTCTATAACTTTGTTTCTATAACTTTGTTTCTATAACTTTGTTTCTATAACTTTGTTTCTATAACTTTGTTTCTATAACTTTGTTTCTATAACTTTGTTTCTATAACTTTGTTTCTATAACTTTGTTTCTATAACTTTGTTTCTATAACTTTGTTTCTATAACTTTGTTTCTATAACTTTGTTTCTATAACTTTGTTTCTATAACTTGGCTATAACTTTGTTTCTATAACTTTGTTTCGATAACTTTGTTTCTATAACTTAGTTTTTATAACTTGTTTCTATAACTTTGTTTCTATTACTTTGTTTCTATAACTTTGTTTCTATAACTTTGTTTCTATAACTTTGTTTCTATAACTTTGTTTCTATAACTTTGTTTCTATAACTTTGTTTCTATAACTTTGTTTCTATAACTTTGTTTCTATAACTTTGTTTCTATAACTTTGTTTCTATAACTTTGTTTCTATAACTTTGTTTCTATAACTTTGTTTCTATAACTTTGTTTCTATAACTTTGTTTTTATAACTTTGTTTCTATAACTTTGTTTCTATAGCTTTGTTTCTATAACTTTGTTTCTATAACTTTGTTTCTATTACTTTGTTTTTATAACTTTGTTTCTATAACTTTGTTTCTATAACTTTGTTTTTATGACTTTGTTTTTATAACTTTGTTTCTATAATTTTGTTTACATAACTTTGTTTCTATAGCTTTGTTTATATAACTTTGTTTCCATAACTTTGTTTCTATAACTTTGTGTCTATGACTTTCTTTTTATTCCTTTGTTTCTATAACTTTGTTTCTTTACCTTTATTTCTATAACTTTCTTTATATTCCTTTGTTTTTGTACTTTTGTTTCTATAACTTTGTTTCTATAACTTTGTTTCTATGACTTTGTTTTTATAACTTTGTTTCTATAACTTTGTTTCTATAACTTTGTTTTCACAACTTTGTTTCTATGACTTTGGTTCTATGACTTTGTTTCTATAACTTGGTTTCGATAACTTGGTTTCTATAACTTTGTTTTTATAACATAATTTCTTTAACTTTGTTTCTATAACTTTGTTCCTATAATTTTGTTTTTATTAGTTTGTTTTAATATTTTTACCATTAAAATAACACTTATTGAAAGAGGAGAGAAAGATAATAAAATGCAAAATAAAATCTGACATTTATTTATTAAATAAAAATGTTTACATTGGTAATATTTATAAAATATATAAAAATATTTATATAACAAATATCAAATTATAAAAAAAATGTAGTCTGTTTTATGTGAACTTTTATTTTTTTACCGTAGCTATGTTAAAAAAAAATGATTTAAATTATAACGCTTAGAAAGAATAAAAATAGTTACTGTTTATAAAAAAAGATTGTTCTACGAGCACTTCCCCAATTGGCAGGCTATTACACTCTAGAGCGAATTAACAAATTGCTTTCATTTCAATATCACTATCACATTATGCATGTTCCTATCCAATTTGAAACTGTCAATTTACTAAAACTATATGTTTAAAAATGAATGGTGTAATCGAAGGAAAAATCTGAGAAATTCTTCAAAAAGTTTGGACGTAGAGGGGAGGGTGAAAAACACTTATGATGACCACTGCATATTTATAGTTAAAAATATTTAATTACAGCATGAATTTCGAATAAAATAATTTACTTTAAACAAATTGTTCCATTCAAAATATCTTGTATTTCCTCAAGAGATTTTCCCCTTGTTTCTATCACATAAAATTTAATAAACAAACACGTAGCAAAACAACAACCAGCAAAGAAAAGGAAAATACCTCCAATACCAACAGCTTCGATAGCAGAATTAAAAAATTGTGAAATCAAAAATCCAATTCCGAAATAACTGGATAATAACACTGAATTTGTCAATATTTTGACTCTCATTGGTAATATTTCTACAGGCACCACCCAACACAAAGGGCCGAAACCGAAATTGTAACTCATCATGAACATAGTAAGAGCTAAAATTGAAAGGAAATTTATCGAATCTGAAGCTTTACCGGCATTTTTAAAGATGCAGTAAATTCCCAATGTAGTTTCAGATATTATCATACCTAATCCAGACCACAGTAAAATAGTTTTTCTATCAAATTTGTTAGATATAAACGGCGTTATCATACCACTTAATAGTTGTATAACTGCTATAATTATGGATCCAATTTCCGGTGAGAAGCTGGAACCTGTTAGTACAAAAATTATCTGACTATACATGATTACTGCATTAATGCCGGTTAATTGTTGACCAATTACCAATCCGATTCCAATAATAAACGCTTTTATGTACCCCCTTGTTTTAATAATGTCCATAATGCTCCCTTCCTGTTGAGCTAATATTTGTTTTCTCATTTCATTAATATCGTCTTCCACATTATAGTTAGAACCTCTGTAAGTCCTCAAAGCCTTCTTGGCTAGTTCCTCTTTATTTTTTAACAAAAAGTAATATGGCGATTCTTCACAAAATAACAAGCTAGTAACTAAAAAAGCTATGGGAAATATTATTTCAATCGTGTTTAAAGTTGTTACGGATACGTAAGGACCGACAGCATAGCAAAAGAGTGCTCCAGCACTAATCATCATACCAAGTATTGTCATTATCGCTCCTCTATTTTCTTTACTAGTTATTTCTCCCATATATGGATAGATTAAACAAAATGCTCCTCCCATAGCAAATCCTTGTAAAAATCTCGCTACATAAAACACCTCTACTTTATGAATGGCTATCATAAGTACATAGCCTAATACTATAAATACTCCAAGAGACCTGTAGACTATTTTTTTTCCGATAACTTCCGATATAGCTCCAAACGCCCAGCATCCTATAACTGCTCCTAAGGTAACGAGTGATGTTAGCCATGATTCTTGAGTTGCTGTGACAACTTTACCAAATGGATTGTCGGATGAAATGTTTTGAAGTTTAGGAATTACCGGCGAACTCCAGCTTAGCAAATTTCCTATACACAGTGTCAGGCAACAAGCTGAAACAGAAAACGAACTACAATCTATTTATATTTTAATAATATTCTGTTTATATTCCAATAGTCATAATATGTTATTTTCCGAAAAAAAAAAACTTTTATTAAGCATAAAACCAAATTTTTTAACTCTATTTGTAATTTTTTTTTAAACGATTTTCGGCGAGAAGGTTATGTCTTAGTAGCAAATGTTCTATAAAAAAGTTTTTAGTACCACAAGTAATTCAGCATGTGATTTAAATAGCCAAAAAGATTTATGAATTAAATACTTTTTAAATAAATTTAAAAATTCGAAAACAAATCTCAAAAATCCCCTTACGAATTATTAAAACCATCCCCGGACCCCAAATGTGAAAACAAAGATTTGTAGATTTGAAAAAAAACCTGCCATTGTCGGGAGTCAAACCCAGATCTTCACGTTTTCCGGACGTGTGCCCTTACCGTGAGGGTATTATCGATATTGAATGTCGCGATTCCTAAACGGAAATTTAAGATACTTAAGACATTTGTGGTCCGGTGATGGTCTTTAATAATTCGTGAGGGAATTTTTGAGATTTGTTTTCGAATTTTAAAATTTATTTAAAAACTTATTTCAGATAATTATGACTTTTCGGATTTCGATTTGCGATCTACGATATATTAAATTCACAATTTAAATTTTTTTTTTTTTAAGAAAAGATTTAAATCAAATATTAAAGATACTTTACCTATTACTAAATGATTTAAATCAAAAATAATTATCCCTATTAAAGTATTTAAATCTTAAATATTTTTTAAGATTTAAATCATTTTGGATATTTACATCACATGATTTAAATACTTTTTTTAATTTGCATCATATTACATCACAAATTGATTATTTAAATCTTTTATAATATTATTTAGTGAGAGAATCGGTTTTAAAACTTGTCAGTTAATGATCCGAAAAATTGAATGGTACATTTTTTTGAACCCCCAAACCAATTCCAATATTAACCCTACGAAATAATGAAAATTTATTTAGAACCCCCAAGGTGAAAACAAATTTATTAAAAAATTTAAAAATTTTGTCCACGGGGATTTGAACCCACCTATACGTGTTCTACGCACATCTCTCTTACGTACTGAGCTATCAGACCATGTACAAATCGAAAGAAAAAAAATAAGTATATAAATTAAATTATTAAATAACATTTTATGTAAAAAATGTACATGGTGTCCCAAAATTATATGGTTATGTTTTGACAGCATAATCTACATCCTAAAATAGTAAAGGTTTATGTAAACATAGGTCTGAAAACGTTTCGTTTCCGAGATACAGGGTGTTAAAAGTGAAGTCCTGATGACACATTTATGAAAATATTCTCTAAACGTTTAAAGATAACGAAGTGAAATTTGATACAAATGCTAAACTTTTACGTTCTATTTAATGGACTAAATCCCTGTTTTTGATCGTCTTCATATAATTGCTCTAAGTTTTTTTGTTGACAGTTTTTAACAAATTTGGAAAACCAATATTTTCTTTATAACAGAGCTACTTTTGTAGCCCCTCACTATGACGCACCATTTTAAAAAAAAAAGGCATTTGAAAATTTCATGATAAGTTCATATTATCTTATTACAAAGTGCAAACAATAATTAGTAGGCCTGTGGAATCAGAAATTTTATTTTCTGTTTAACTTTGGAAAACCCTTAAACTAGGTAATAAAGAGAGGACGCGTAATAAGTATATCGAGCACACGTACTATTCTGTGCCGATTATCTATTGGCCGCCATTATTTTGGTGCTAATCATTTCAATGACACCAAAGTTTTTGTTCGTATTTTTTTCTAATTTTTTAATTAAACGACATTTAATAATTGGTTTATTACAATGGTTTATTGTGTAGCATATCAGTGTAAAAGTTATAGCGGCAAGAAAGAAGCAGATATTACGTTTCACAGGTAAATGATAAACATCAATCGTTTTTACTTTATATATTTTCTTATATTTTTCATTTTTTTGGTGTTATACAACTTGGTATTTACATATTGAACATGTCTCACTCCAGAGTAATAATTTTACTTATCAAGTTTGTTTATTTTATGCTTTTCATTGATATTTAAGCAATTAATGTTATTAAAATAGACAAGTAATTTTTTCCAGTGACGTGTCGTACAATTCTAAATGTTAACTTTTATTAAATTCTAATTTACTTCTGCTTTTTATTTAATTGCAGCAAAGTTTATTTGTTGTTTTATTTTAAATTTCCTGTAAATCCAACAAAAAAATTTTTGGATTCAAGCAACGAAAATTGCAAATTGGATGCCTACGCCAAATGATAGATTGTGTTAAAAACATTTTGAAAGACAATTTTTTATGGGATGGACTGTAAAAGACGTTTACTAAATGGAGCAGTTCTCACTATATTTCCTGAATTCCCTAAATGCATGCAGCCGAAGAAAGTACGTATACCAATAGACATAATTAAACATATATATTTTTTTAATTAGTTTTCATTATTATGCTAAGAAATTTTAAGAATTTAGCAACCCTTTTTTGTATAATTCAAATCATTACCGTAATAATTGATTTTTTGTAGGACTTAAAAAGAAGAGCATTGCATTTGGAAGCTGAGACGGGCCCTTTAAATAGAACTGCAAATAAGGAATCTATCCTAGAAAGCCCTAGTATAAAACGTCTTAGAAGACAACTTTTATAGATATAAAAAAAGAGTTGTTTCGCTAAAACTTCTTGTCATTATACCAAATTTGTATTATTTAAGGGTCAGTAATTAATTTATCTTTATTTATATTCACTCGTAAGGGGGTGAATTAGGGAGAGTATTATTTTTATCATTATTATTATTTATGTATAATTTTTCTTACTAGCTTAATTTAATGATACCCATATAGCACACTACATCTTAAAGACGTCCAGTCCATGTCTTACTTTCGTCCAAACGTAAAACGTCTTTGTTGGGATGTTTTTAGAACGTTTTAAATATGTCGGTAATATCGACGTTCAACTCTTTTCGCTATATTTGAATATGGCGCCACGACACCGTTCTTGGTGCTGCCTGCAGCGCATGTATGATCGTCATTCGTCATTGGCTGATTGGATAGTCTCGCACGCGCGTATCGATTCGTGTTCTTCCTCTGACTGCTTTCTTCTCGGGACATCCATTGTATAATATTTTTAGCGTAAGTCTGTGGACATTGTCATTACTTTTTTGTGGTTGTGTGTTTTTATATATTGTCTTTTTATATTATTTATTTTTTATTATTGGAACGGGTATACCGGAACTAGTAAACTTTATCATTAAAAACGGTAAGTACTTGAAGTCAACAGTGAGGTTATGAAATTAATAACCTCACTTTTTTAATTTCTTGTTTTTTAGAAAAACACCTTAAAACAATAATTCAACAAAATTATATGCTACGGGGACATTAGTTACAGACACTTTGGCTAAAATTAATACCATAAAAGAAGTTTTTAAATCGATTTTTGGGAATAGTTTCTCATAGCAACAAGCACTTGAAATCATTTTCTAATTATTTTATACAACACTGTAAATAATATTTACTCTGTGTTAGTTGTAATAGTTTAATAATGTATAATAAACAGTATTAAATATAGTAAAAAAGTATTCATTTATTTTTTCAAACGAATTTCCATCAAGTAAATAGACTGCTTAAACAAACACGTCCAATACGATTTGTCTTAAAGACGTACAAAACTCGATGTCTTAAAGACGTACCAAATTGGATGTCCAAAGACGCCTTATTTTGTATCAATGTACGCCCTATATAGACGCCTTTAAAACATCTTTTGGATATTAGCGTAGATCTTCAAAACGTCACGAACGTCGTAATCAAATTTCTTTAAGATGTCTTTAAAACGTGTCTGTGCTATCTGGGTAGTGTTATTCTTTATTAACTAAAAATAAATCTTTTTGTAATACATGTAGATCGTTATGTTTTATTTTGCCAAATTTTAAAAAACACTCATATTATTATGTAAACGATTTCATTCAGTTTATTTCTAATATTCGACTATTCGACTATTCGACTATTCGACTATTCGACTATTCGACTATTTGACTATTCGACTATTCGACTATTCGACTATTCGACTATTCGACTATTCGACTATTCGACTATTCGACTATTCGACTATTCGACTATTCGACTATTCGACTATTCGACTATTCGACTATTCGACTATTCGACTATTCGACTATTCGACTATTCGACTATTCGACTATTCGACTATTCGACTATTCGACTATTCGACTATTCGACTATTCGACTATTCGACTATTCGACTATTCGACTATTCGACTATTCGACTATTCGACTATTCGACTATTCGACTATTCGACTATTCGACTATTCGACTATTCGACTATTCGACTATTCGACTATTCGACTATTCGACTATTCGACTATTCGACTATTCGACTATTCGACTATTCGACTATTCGACTATTCGACTATTCGACTATTCGACTATTCGACTATTCGACTATTCGACTATTCGACTATTCGACTATTCGACTATTCGACTATTCGACTATTCGACTATTCGACTATTCGACTATTCGACTATTCGATTATTCGACTAATCGATTATTCGAATATTCGACTGTTCGAATAATTTCGATTTAAAAATATCGAATTTTGAGTATTCGAATATTCGAATTATCAATTTAACCGAATACAATTCCGAGCCCTAATTATAATACAACGGATTAAATCTAGTCGGATTCTAAAACGCATGCGCGTCGGTTCAATTTAACAATAAGAGTAACAAGCGGCAGGCTTATTATAATACGCCTGAAATTATTAGTCAAATTGTGAGATTCTTAATTAGTTGAGTAGTATTATGATATGCCTAGTCGTATTGAAAAAGCTTAGACGTATTATAATAAGACTGATTTTATAATACGCCTGCGACATATACATTAAACTCGTCATCTTCACCAGAACATAGACGTTCGAATAGCAAGGATCAAATTCAGTATCAGGTTATTCTGGGAGCGG